GTTATATTTCAACGAAGATGGGAAATAAATTCCATGGCCCACCGTTGTTCATTATTCTCTTGCACAGAACCACAACTCATTAGGTCCCCTCTCTCTTCACTGTACAAGCCTAGTAAAACCCAAACCCTAGTTAAATTCAGCTCCATGGCTGCTTCTTGCCTGTGCCTCCCTTAACGGCTGCCTGGCCATCCTACTTCATTTCACTAATCAGTTCGCTCTCCCATTCTCTGAGAGGACCAATTTATATCTTTTCCTCTCTCCTTAGCCTTCCAAAATCCCTTCCTCTTTCTTCACTCTTAGCTAATGACCTGGCTTTCAATTTCCACTAAGAAAAGAGAAGCATCAGAACCTCACTTAATCTCAACAAGAAACCCACCCCCACTTCCTCACTCTCCTCCAGCCCCCACCCCACTTCTCTGCTTTCTCTTACAGCAAAACTCCTGAAAGGGTCATCTATACTTGATTGTCTCCACTTCCTTTGCTGCTCTTGGATTGGATTTTCGTTCCCAACAGTATCAAAACTATTCCTTTCCAAAGTCTCCAGTGACGTCAGTGTTGCCAATTGCAATGGTCAATTCTCACTCATTTTACTGGACTATCAGTAGCTTTTGACACAGTTGCTGACTCTCTCACCTTGAAACTCTTCCTCTACTTGGCTTCTGGTACATCTCTTGGTTCTCTTCTACCTTAATGGCTAAGCCCTCCCAATCGTCCTTCCTAGGTCCTCATTTCCTGACTTCTAAATACTAGAGGGGCTCAGGGTACCATCCCTAGACCCTCCTCTACCTACATTCACTCCCTAGGTTTGATCATTTAGTCCAATGGCTTTAAATACCATCTACCTGCTGATAACAGCCATTTATTTCTCCAGCCCTCCTCTAAAGTCTAGACTAGTACATTGAATTGCCTCTTTGCTATCACTAAGGCATAAAATGGGCGTGCCAAATTTAACATGCCGCAGGGGTGACCGGTTAGCTCAGTTGGTTAGAGCGTGGTGCTTGATAACACCAAGGTTGATGGTTCAATCAACCATGGGTCACTGTGAGCTGCACCCTCCTTAAAAGAGTCAACTATGCCACTGTAGCATGAAAGCAATGTGTAACCAATGACCATGGCTGTTCCCCAATTAAAAAAAAATTTAACATGCCTCAAACCTGAAACTCCCCCCGAATCCTGATCCTCCCCTGTGGGACCACTCTCCACGATGTTCCCAATGATGCCCATCTCCTGGTAGTCACATCCTTATGCATTCCCGTTCCACAATGCATAGGGCTGACCTGTGTAACCATTAGTATATTGCAGAAACGATGGTGTGCAACTTCTGAGGCTAGTTCATAAAAGAAGTTGTGGTTTCCACCTCTCTCCTGGATCACTTGCACAGGGGGAAGCCAGCTACTATGTTGTGAGGACACTCAAGCAGCCCTACTGAAATAAGAGGCTCATATGGTGAAGGCACTGAGACAGGCATCTTGCCAACAGCCATATCTATGAGCCCTTTTAGATGCAGATTCTCCAGCCCAGGTCAAGCCTTCAGATGGCTACAGCCCCAGCCAACAGCTTGACTGCAATCTCGTAAGACCCTAAGCCAGAACCACCCAAGCAAGTCACTCTTAAATTTCTGACCTACAGAACTGAAAACCAAATGTTTGTTGTATTAAGCCACAACTTCTGGGGCAATTTGCTACACAGTGCTGAATACATAATATTTCCCCACCTCTGCCCCCCAAAATCCTGTTCCTCCTCTCTGGTCATTCCTATCTCAAGTCATTCATTTGCTCAGGTCAAGCCTTGGAATTAAAGTCTTGACCCTGCTCTCTTACACCACATCCAACCCTATAGCAAATTCTATTGGTTTTACTGGTGTTCAACATTTAAATGAATGATAAAGCTCACCAACACAGCAATCCCTAAGATATGAAAAATCGTAGCTTTGAAGAGGGTTTAGAATAGTGGGAAACTGAGTTAACAGAGGCATTGGGAGGCTGCCTAGAGAGAGGAAAAGAAGCTAAAAGTAAACAGCCACTCTACTCTGTACTAGATATTGTACAAATATTAGTTCATTTGCTCCTACAATGCCATGTGGTGGGTACTATTGTTTATCACCCCTTTACAGCTGAGGTCACAGACTGCAAGAGACGAAGCTACATCTGAACTCAGGTAATCTAACTTGAGAATGTAAACTCTGCAGCCACCCTGCATTCCAAAAGGGAAGAGTATTAAGGGCTGAATTCGGCCAGTGGGATGGGAAAGCAAACACCCAGAGAAGCTTGGGTCCGTCTAGAGCAGTTCTGCCAAGGCAACAACACATAGGACCCATCCTCAAACTTATTACTCAAACCATGATAGGCAAGGATTGGGGACCTCTGAGAATGAGAGCCAGGTAGAGTGCTCTACTCAATACACAGAGGTTAGAAGCTGAATTTCAGCCTACTCTGATTAATCGCTCAGGGACCCTAAGCAAGCCCCTTGAATTCTCTGGATCTTAGCTCTTCACTGGTCACTGGGCCAGCCACAGTGTACCTGCCAGAAGGTAGGGCTTGGGCATGTCCGGCTCTGGGATCTGAGATCTGGCCCCCTCCCCCAATTACCATGACGCTCAGCCTCTGAGCTCACGGGGATGCCATCCTTATCTAGCCTTTGCTTGAACAGGTTGTGTTCCACATCCAGCTGCTGTTCCCCAGCCACATCCATGGCATCGATGCTCAGATCTGAAAGCAGGAAGTCAGGGTAAGGTACTGGGATTCTAGAGGCAAAGGAATCTGGGTTTTGGAGGATAAGGGGATGCTGGGCATGTCTTGGGGCAGTAGCGGGTTGGGGGGAGGAGGTTGTCCTGGGGTCCAGTCCAGAACCTAAGGCTGGAGGTGTGACTCTGGAAGCCCACCTGAGAATCCTGGGACTTGCAACGCCCACTTATGGTGAGGTACTCACAGGCACAAGGCATGTGCGGAAAGAATACATCGATGTTGATCTTCAGTTTATCTCCCCGTGACTTGTCCACGTAGAGTTCAGGATGCACCTGGGGCAGCACTACCTCAGTAAGATTTGGCCCCATGCCTCTTTTTCTCCCACTCCCATCCCTAAAGATCCTTTTCTTAGAAAGTAAAGCCCCACGTACTTACTAGGCCCCACCACTTACCTCTGTAGTTAGGTAATACTGCAGCTCAGACAGGAACAGTAGCAGCATGAGAAGGCCACTGACAATGGTCACTGCAGGGCAGGGAGCGAGGGTCAGAATGGCCTCTGTTCAGCTCTCTTGGCCCCTGGCAGGCCAGACAGATCTAGGAGCCCCTGCCAAGCTCCAGGGCACCCCTCTCCCCGAGACCCGGGCCCGGCCGCNACTAAGCACTTCTACACATATATTATTTCTTTTAATAATGGTAATAGTCATAAAATAACAGTACATTCTAAAGGTCAGCTGGGTGCAGGTTGCTGTATACATTACGTGCATCATCTAATTTCATCCCCACAATGACTCTACGGAGGTGAGGTTATTATCCTCCTCATACGTGAGAATATGTCGAGGCTCAGAGAGGAGAAGTGACTGTGCAATGCAACACAGTAAGTGGCAGATTTCAGCTCTAATTCCAAAGTGTATGCCCTTAACCACTTCGCTATGGTGCTTCTCAGACCTCTCTCTGCACTGGCTCCCTGCCTCTCTAACTACCCAATCACAATTGGTGATTTCTGTATTCAATACCTTGACCTTCTGTCCTCCAATACATGTCAGTTTGTCATCTCACCTCAGCCACCCACTTCCATGCTCATACCTAGACTCTGTCATAACCAATTACTGCAAACTTGCCAAAATTCAATTTCAAGTATCCCAGTCTTCAACTACTTATCCTTATTCTTCCAGTTCACTATCTCTGGGATGCAGAATATACCAGTTCTTTGATACCACTGACACTATCATTCCTTCATGTCCTCATTTCCCTACTTCAATTCCACGGTCCAAATAGGGAAAGGACAGTCTCTTCAATAAATGGTGCTCGGAAACTGGATAGTCACATGCCAAAGAATGAAACAGGACCCCTGTCCTACACCATTCACAAAAAATGGATTAACAACTTAAATGTAAGAGACTTGATATCATAAAAGTCCTGGAAGAAAACAGGGAAAAAGCTCCTTGACATTGGTCTTGGCAATGATTTTTGGGATATGACACCAAAAACAAAAGCATAGACAACAAAAGCAAAAATACACAAGTGGGACTACATCAAAATAAAGTTTCTGCACAGCAAAAAAAAATTAACAAAATGAAAAGGTAACCTGCAGAATGAGAGAAAATATTTACAAATGATGTATCTGATAAGGGGTTAATCTTCAAAATATATAAGAAACTCATATAACTCAATAGCAAAACCCCAAATAATCCAATTAAAAATGGGTAAAGGATCTGAATAGACATTTTTAAAAAGAAGCATACAGATGGCCAATAGGTACATGAAAAAGTGCTTAACATGATTTATCAGCAGGGAAATGCAAATCAAAACCACAAGATACCACCTCACACCTGTTAGAATTGCTATCAATAAACAAACAAAAAATAACAAGTATGGATGAGGAGGTGGAAAAAAGGGAACGTTGTGCACTGCTAGTGGGAATATAAATCGGTACAGCTATTATGGAAAACAGTATGGAAGTTCCTCAAAAATTAAAAATAGAACTACCATATGCTCCAGCAATCCCATTTCTGAGTACATATCCAAAAAATTAAATCAGTATTTCAAAGAGATATCTGCAGTGTCATGTTCTTTGCAGCATTATCAGAAGAACCAAGACATGGAAACAACCTGTCTGTCAACAGATGAATGGGTAAAGGAAACCTGGTATATACGAGGTCTGACAATTAAGTTTGTGAACTTGTTGCAATTATGTTGCTAACCTTTTTTGATATCAGAGGGATTATTCATTACGAATTTGTACCAACTGGACAAACAGTTAACCAAGTTTACTTTACTATTGGGAAGTGCTGGAAAGGCTGCGTGAAAAAGTTAGACGACCTGAACTTTTCGCCAACAACTCATGGCTCTTGCATCACAATGGACCAGTTCACAGGGCATTGTCTGTGAGTGAGCCTTTAGCCAGTAAAGAAATAACTGTATTGGAACACCCTCCCTACTCACCTGATCTGGCCCCCAGTGACTTCTTTCTTTACCCGAAGATAAAGGAAATATTGGAAGGAAGACATTTTGATGACATTCAGGACATGAAGGGTAATATGATGACAGCTCTGATGGCCATTCCAGAAAAAGAATTCCAAAATTGCTTTGAAGGATGGACTAAGTGCTGGCATCAGTGCATAGCTTCACTTTGAAGGTGACCATAGTGATATTCAGCAATGAGGTATGTAGCACTTTTTCTAGGATGAGTTCGTGAACTTAATTGTCAGACCTTGTATAAATGGAACACTATTCAGCCATTAAAAAGCAGAAAATTCTGCTATCTGCAACAACATGGATAAACCGTGAGGACATTATGCTAAGTGAAGTAAGTCAGAGAAAGACAAATACTGTATGATCTCACTTATGTGTAGCTTCCAAAAAAGCCAAACTCACAGAGAGTAGACTGGTGGTTGCCAAGGGCTGGGGGGTGGGGGAAAGGAGGGATGTTGGTCAAAGCGTACAAGCTTTCAGTTACAAGATGAGTGAGTTCTGGGGATCTAATGGTGACTATAGCTAACAATACTGTATTGCATATTTGTATCAAAAGTTGCAAAGAGAGATCTTAAAAGTTCTCATCAGGGCCGGCCGAGTGGCGCGCTGGTTAAGAGCTGGCTTGGGACGCCAGAGGGCCCCGGTTCGGATCCCACATATGAGGNCTCCTCTCAGTTCTCCTTTCAAAATACATGCAGTCACTCTCACCACCTCCACCACCACTCTGGCCCAGCCACGCCACCTCGTGCCTGGACTGATCACTGCAGCCCTAACTGTCCTTCCCCTTATGGTCTTCTCTACAGGGCAGAGAGCTGCCTACCTTTTTAAAGTTAAGTCAGATCATGGACCATTTCTTCAGAGTCCTGTAAGGGCAGGCTTCCCGTCTCACACAGAGAAAAGCCCAAGGCCCTCCAATGCCCCTCCAAGCCCTGTATGACATGGCCCCATTATGTCTCGTACCTTCTTTCTAACTACGCTGGTCTGCTCCAGCCACTCTCCCTTTTTTCCTGTACCTTCAACTCCCCAAAGCACATTCTTGCCTTAGGGATTTGCACTTGCTATTCTCCCTGCTTGAAACACGCCCCCCCACCCCTTCCCCAGTTATCCATAGGGCAGCTCCTTCACTTTCTTCAGGGCTTTACTTAAAACAGCCCGTCAAAAAGTGTTTCCCTGACTAACTATATAAAATAGTAGAGACGTGTCATCTCACCCAACCCCCTTACCTCCATCTCTCCTGCCTTTTTTGGGTTCATATTACTTAATAGCATCTGATATACCACTATCTTACATACTTATTATCTGTTTCTTTACTAGAATGTTCTGAGAGCAGGGACTTGGTTTTGTTCACTGCTGTATCCTTAGCATCTAGACTAGAACGTGGCACCTAGGTGGTGATTACTGAATATCTGGTGAATGCATGAAAGAATACATGAATGAGCATTAATCTCATTTATTCATCCCTATGAGCGACCCTGTGAGGTAGGCTCCATTTTACTAAGAAGAAACTGAGTAGGGCTCCCTACTTCCGGACTATGCTTGGGAACGGCAGAACCTCCATTCCAACCCAGCTCTGCTTCTCCCAAAGCCTCACGCGCAGGTCCTCAGAGACTGGGGTCTACCTTTTAAACGAATGCCCAGCACAAGCCAGGCTCTACGCTATCATCTTTCACCTGTAGGAACGCCCTAGGAGATAAGTACTATCATCACCATTTTATAAAGTAGGAAACTTTGAAGCTCAAAAACATTAAGAAACTGTCTCGAAGTTTCACACAGCCAGGAAGGTCTGACACTGAAATGTGAACCCAGGCGTGTGGCTCCTCAGCTCTTAACTGTTGTACCAAACTGCTGCCCTGAGATGAGGGTCTGCTCTGGGCCAGAGACCAAAGAACAGGCAGGTGAGGGGGCGCTCAAACTCGCCAAGGTGTCCAGGGCCTAAGCCTCCCGGCTGATGTATCACTCACCGTGCACATGGGACTGCTGGAAGCTCTTCCCGGGGGCAAAGTGGAAGTTTCCGGCCACCTGTAGGGGATATTCCCTCTCATTCTCCATTTCTTCCCTTCCCTTCATTTGACAGCCCGAGCGGACCGTCGAGTCACAGTGGAGCAGGGCCAACCCACAGCCCAGCTGGCCCTGCCCGGCCTCAGTCCCTCAGGTACCTTGTTGACTTCCAAGAAGCCATAAACCTGGCAGCCCTCATTCTTCTGCTCCTGCATCTTCTGGCTGAAGCCCTCTCGCCGGCACTGCTCAATAGTGTCTGGGTTCTTGAAGGCCCAGCCTCGACGGCGATATGCCTCCCGCACATCCTCACAGGTGTTACAGCACCTGTAGGAGAGGGGGAGGGAGTGGGAGTGTCAAAGAGACGAAAACAGGGCTGGTGCCTTGGGAAGTAAAGCCTGAGCAGTTCTGCCCACTAATGAAGCCTCCGCCAGCCTCAACCCCGACCACCAAATGTTCTCAAAGTGTGTCTCCTCAGTGGCAGCAGAACTGTTAAAAATACATATTCCGAGCAGCTGGTTAAGAGCGCAGTGCTCATATCACCAAGGTTGCCGGTTCGATTCCCACATGGGCCACTGAGATGTGCCCTCCACAACTAAACTGAAACAACTACTTGACTTGAAGCTGACGGGTCCTGGAAAAACACTGTTCTCAAATTAAAAAAAAACAGAAAAAAACATTCCCATTCTGTTTGGGGTGATGAAAAGTTTTGGAACAGACAGTGGTAGATTTTATGTCTTATATTTTACCACAATAAAAAATATTTTAAAATACATATTCCCAGGACCCACCCCAGACCTGCTGAATTGGCGTCTCAAGGATCAGGTCCCGGGAAACGTAACACAG